TTCGTATGGAGAACAGACTTTGTGAACACTTTGACTCCACGGCGATTGGACTGTGTACAGACGATCTGAGCGCTACTCTGTACTTTTGTGCGCTCAGATCCTAGCTATCTGGGGACCTGTTGAATGCCTATGTTATGTTTTAATATTGAACAGTTATGTATTTTTATGCCTTTTTGTCCTTGTCATCTAAAATGGAGGTTGGTCTTTGTCCTGGGAGATAATTGAATTACTTCACAATTTCCCAGGCAGAGCAGAGGGTCCTGGGTAATAAAAGGGGAATGGCTATGTATGTAACTCTGTGATTGGTTGTTACAATGTCCTTGTCCCAGTTTCCCATTTGGTCCCCTAGGGGAGTGTCCACCAGATGGGAGACCAGCATAAATACCGGGCATGTAGCCCACATTAAATCAGATTCCTGCTGACCCTCAATACGGAGCCTTGTCTTGTCATTGGGGGGATTATTCGTATGGATTATGCTTGTTCGACTATTTGGGAGACTGACTGATTCGTGTGATTGCTGTTCAGCAGTTTGGAGCGCTCAGTAGCTACCTCTGCATTCGGTAAGGGAAAGTCCTATACAGCAGTAACCCCTCTCCTACCAGGGGAGCCGTAACAATTGGTGGCAAGCGGCGGGATGCTCCTTCAGCCCAGGAGGTCAGCTACAGAGCCACAGACGGATGGAATTACAATATGAACAACTGAAACGCTCTACCCTTAAGGATTTACTGGAGAGCCGTGGCTGCTCAGCAAGTAACAGGAAGAAAAGTGACATTATTGCACAACTGCTGGAAATGTATAAAAGCGAAAGACCAAGTATCACAGACAGGACACCCGAGGAGGCAAGCTTTGACCGGGCAGTCCGGATAAGGCTGGCACATTTTGGCCCCAACCCCTCAGCAGATATAATTGAATGTGTCATAGCAGCTGTGGAGGCGAATCAGCAACACCTTCAGCAAAGAGGTACTGCAGCAGCTTAAATACCCACTGCACCAGAAAAGAGAAAAGTACCTTTTGCTGCTTTTAAGAATTTCAGTGAAGCTGATGGAGAGATTGATGGGTACCTGTCCGATTTTGAAAGGCAGTGTGCCCTGCACCGGGTACCCACAGATGAATGGGTCGCTATCTTGTCTGGAAAGTTATCGGGTCGGGCCAGTGAAGCATTTCGGGCCATACCAGACGAGGACATTGTAAATTATGGACTGGTAAAGGAAGCACTACTAGCCAGATACAGTCACACCCGAGGTGTATCGCAGGAGATTCCGGGAAACCCACAAACAAGCAGGCGACTCTCACGTTGAGTGGGCTTGCCGAGTCCACCACAAGGCGACTCACTGGCTAGCTGGATGTCAAGCGGTGTCTGAAGAGGAAGTGTTACAGCTATTGTTGTTGGAGCATGTTTATGAGAAAATGGCCACAGGGGTCAGAGAATGGGTAGGAAACCCCTTACCATGGCAGAAGCAGCTCGCTTGGAGGACGAGTACACCGATGCCCGCAAGCTAGACAACCAGACACCGAAAGTACTGACCCACATAGATCACCGACCAATGACATCCACCTCAGCGACGGCACCACCACCACCGGCATACCGGGCTGCACCACCACTTCAGGCTGCCCCTCATCCCCAGCCACCCAGGTTCAATGCCCGGAGCTATTCCCAACCCCTGAGGTGTTTTGGCTGCAACCAGGTGGGCATCGGAGGCAGGATTGCCCATTGAATTCATCCAGGCAGTCCCAGTCTTGGAGGAGGCCAGCAGAGAGCAACCACCGCACAGTGACGCCGGCTGCCCACTGTGTGGAAGAAGAGGAATGTTGGGGTATTCTGCATGAGGCGGATCCTGTACAGGTTGCTAACCGGGACAATTGGCAGCAACATCGCCAGACCGTCAAAATCAATGGGAAGATTGCCAGCGGATTAAGGGACACTGGTGCTACTATGACTTTGTTACAGAACAATTTGATCTCTGAAAGTCAACACACCGGGGACACCATTGCTGTGTGGGTAGCTGAAGGCACTGTATTTCAACTACTTGTAGCCCGGGTTCACTTGGATTGGGGACTTGGTTCGGGACATGTTAATGTCGGGGTGATGAAAGACCTGCCAGCTGACGTACTATTGGGAAATTATTTGCCCCCCTTGGTTTTTGCCTGCGCTCCGATGGGTTCTGCGGAAGCCAACCCTGTGACCACACGTGCCCAGGCTGCTGAGACCCAGGTAAGACTGTCTTCCCCGACTTGTATGCTAGACCAGGTCCCTCTAGACTGGGATACCCCTGAGGCATTTGGGAGGGAGACCCGGGAGAACCCGACCTTACAGAAATACAGGGCTAAGGCAGAGGCCCAGGAGGAAGGGATAGACGGGGAACGCTTTGAGTGGGTGGGGGATAGACTATATAGGATCCCTAAACCGTCCCCAGGAAATAAAGCCCCTTTGCAGAGATGACAGCTGGTGGTGCCCGCCAACTACCGGCAGGAGTTTCTGCGAATTGGGCATGATGTGCCGCTAGCAGGACATCTAGGGTCCCGTCGCACAGCCAATAGAATCACCCAGAATTTCTTTTGGACCAATTTCAACCAGGCTGTCCGACAATATTGTAGCACGTGCGACACATGTCAACGGGTAGGGAAGAGAGGAGACCACCCTAAGGCTAGACTTATGTCCTTGCCTATCATTGGGGAACCCTTCTCTCGTGTAGCCGTTGACATTGCTGGTTCACTGGCCAGGGCTAGTTCATCCAGGAAGAAATACATTCTTACCATGGTGGACTACGCCACTCGTTACCCAGAAGCAGTAGCCCTGTCTAACATTGAGGCAGAGACAGTGGCTGATGCTCTGGTTAAGGTCTGTTCTAGGGTGGGATTCCCTAAGGAGATCCTCTCCGGCAGATGCTCACCCAGCAGTTGTAGAATGTATGCAATATTTAGCCCTTGCTTAGCTCAACCTATCATCCACAAACTAAGGGGCTCTGTGAGCATTTTAATGGTACCCTCAGGCAAATTCTGAGGACCTTTACGGACACTTGCAGAGACTGGGAGCGATTCCTGCCTCATCTGCTATTTGCGTACAGAGAGGTACCCCAGGAATCTACTGGGTTCTCTCCTTTCGAGTTGCTCTATGGGAGGAGGGTCCGCGGACCCCTCGATCTCATCAGAGGACACTGGGAGGGAGAGACAGGGCAGGAGGGGGCCCCCATAGTGCCATATCTCCTGGAACTTCGGGACCGCATGGAGCAGTTGTCTCTGATGGTAAGAGAGAACCTCCAGGCGGCCCAGGGGAGACAGAAGAGATGGTATGATCGGGGTGCCCGACAACGCGTCTTCCAAGTAGGGCAAAAAGTCTTAGTGCTCAAACCTGTGAAGCACACAAGATGCAAGCATCTTGGCAGGGGCCGTATAAAGTCGTAGCCCAGGTGTGTGACACCATGTATATTATTGCCAGCTGTGCAGATGAAAGGATCCAGCGGTCCTTTCATGTGAACATGCTGAAGGAATATCAGGAAAGGCAGGAGGATGTTGCTGCTGTATGTGCCCCTGCTACTGATGATCCTGAGAACCTACCTCTCCCTGACTTACTAGAGAGAGAACCCCAGACGGACTTGATGAGCCTTGTACAGCTAGGTGAACGGTTGAGCCCTTTGGAAAAGGAACAGGCTAAATGGCTGCTATGGGAGAAAAGGGCGACCTTTTCTCAGGAACCAGGTTATACCACCCTAGCTGTGCATAAGGTAGAAACCCCCGGAAAAGCACCCCTGAGACAACCCGCCTACTGTATCCCTGAAGCAGTCCAAGAAGGAATGCGGAAGGAGATACAGGAGATGACTCAATTAGGAGTCATTGAGCCCTCCGACAGCCCTTGGGCTTCGCCTGTAGTCCTGGTACCTAAGAAAGATGGGACCACCCGGTTCTGTGTGGACTACAGATGTCTCATCGAGAAGACCACCACTGACGCCTACCCGATGCCCCGGGTAGACGAGCTATTAGACCGCATAGGCAGGGGGCGCTATAGGTACTATAGACCTATGTAAGAGATATTGGCAGATTCCCCTGGCCGAGGATGCTATCACCAAGTCAGCATTCGTCACCCCGTTTGGTCTGTACCAGTTCAAGGTCATGCCTTTCGGGATGAAGAATGCCCCGGCTACTTTCCAGCGTATGGTAGATAGACTCCTTGATGGATTCCAGGACTTTGCATGTGCATACCTGGATGACATTGCGGTCTACAGTGGGTCTTGGGAGGAGCATTTAACTCATGTAGGGGTGGTTCTGGATAAGATTTGGGCCACGGGCCTGACTCTGAAGCCAGAGAAATGCCATCTAGGCATGGCTGAGCTGCAGTACTTGGGACACAGGGTCGGGTGCGGAAACCAGAGACCAGAGCCAGCCAAGGTGGAGGCAGTAGCGAACTGGCCCATGCCCCGCACCAAGACCCAGGTACTGGCCTTCTTAGGGATGGCAGGGTATTACCGACCATTTGTACTCGACTATAGCACGATAGCCAACCCCCTGACGGACCTGACCAAGAAGAATCTCCCTAAGCAGGTCCTGTGGTCTCCAGCTTGTGAAGCTGCGTTTAATGCCTTAAAACAAGCCCTTGTGAATGCCCCAATCTTGGCTGCCCCAGTACCTAATAAACGTTTTCTCGTCCATACAGATGCTTCCATGTTTGGACTGGGGGCTGTGCTAAGCCAGGTCGGGGAGGATGGAGGAGAACACCCTGTCGCATACCTGAGCAAGAAACTATTACCACGGGAAGTGAGTTATGCGGCAGTGGAAAAAGAGTGTTTGGCCCTTGTCTGGGCCCTTAAAAAGCTAACCCCCTACCTATATGGACAAGAATTCTCCCTGATTACAGACCACAACCCATTGGTATGGCTTAACAGGGTCGCAGGGGACAACGGCCGGTTACTGCGGTGGAGCCTGGCCCTGCAACCTTACAACTTTACTATCACCTACAGACCCGGTAAGCACAATGGTAATGCTGATGGGTTGTCACGGCAGACTGACCCTACTCCAGCTTCTCAGTCCGGACATCCCCACGTTGAACCATTGAAGGATCAAACCAGGTCTGCCGGAGTATCCCACAAAGGGGGAGCCGTGTGACAGATCTCTCTGTCTTGAATTTACAGAGACTTATTCTTCATTCGTTAGTTTAATTCGTGTTTTCCCGTTCATGTGGACTCTATACTGTTCCCTTTTTAACTACCGAATAAAACTCCCGAATGGCCAGCCACCCAGTAGAGGGGTGTGCTGCTGGTTAACCTCTTGGCCCCATTAGAACGTTGAGGTTAACCGCAGACACCTCTTAATTGATACTGTAGCTGGGTGGCCGCCATTTGTATACCGAACACGAGGTCGCGGCCATTTTAAATCCACAAAAGCTCAGCGGTGTTCGTCGGCCAACTCATGGAACTAAAAACTGACACTTTTTGGCACGAACACCGCTGAAGCCGCCAACCTCCCTTTTCTTTCGCTGAAAATCCGCGAACGTCCCTCTATTCTGTACTTTGGGAACGAATAAACCATACCCCAGATAGCCATGCAGTGGAGCCCAAAGAACAGACTTTGTGAACACTTTGACTCCACGACGATTGGACTGTGTACATAGGATCTGAGCGCTACTCTATACTTTTGTGCGCTCAGATCCTAGCTATCTGGGGACCTGTTGAATGCCTATGTTATGTTTTAATATTGAACAGTTATGTATTTTTATGCCTTTTTGTCCTTGTCATTGAAAATGGCGGTTGGTCTTTGTCCTGGGAGATAATTGAATTACTTCACAATTATCTCCCGGGCAGAGCAGAGGTTCCTGGGTAATAAAAGGGGAATGGCTATGTATGTAACTCTGTGATTGGTTGTTACAATGTCCTTGTCCCAGTTTCCCATTTGGTCCCCTGGGGGAGTGTCCACCAGATGGGAGACCAGCATAAATACCAGACATGTAGCCCACATTAAATCAGATTCCTGCTGACCCTCAATACGGAGCTTTGTCTCGTCATTGGGGGGATTATTTGTATGGATTATGCTTGTACGACTATTTGGGAGACTGACTGATTCGTGTGAATGTTGTTCGGCTGTTTTGGAGACCAACGGGTTCGTGTGATTGCTGTTCGGCAGTTTGGAGCGCTCAGTAGCTACCTCTGCATTCGGTTAGGGGACCTCCTATACGGCAGTAACCCCTCTCCTACCGGGTGAGCCGTAACAACCCGCATTTAATAGTGAACAGAACATCTAAATACAGTGCCAGCCCAAGACATTGTGCTGCCTGGGTCTAAGGATGAAATACTGAACCCTCCCCCCCCTCCCCACCACCAAAAACATGCCAATATCCATTATGTAATGCAGCGTGTGTATTGTATGCAGTGTGTGTAGTGAATGCATTTTGTGTGTATAGTGGATGCACTGTGTAGTGAATGTATTGTGTGTGTAGTGGGTGCAGTGTGTGTTGTGGAGGCAGTCTGTGTCTGTGTCACACACTGCCTGTCTGTGTGTCATGGATGCAATGACTGTGTGTCCTGGATTTTGTGTCTGTTTTTGTGTCGTGAATGTAATGTGTATTGTATGCAGTGTGTGTATTGAATACATTGTCAGTGTGTGTGTGTATAGTGGAGACAGTGTGTGTTGTGGATGCAATGTCTGTGTTTGTGTCGTGGATGCAGTGTTTGTGTGGTGGATGTATTCTGTCTAGTGGATACAGTGTCTGTGTAGTCAATGTAGTGTATGTAGTAGTATCTGTATTGTGCATGCAGCATGTTTAGTGCTGGATAAGTGCTGGGGGGTGAGCAGTTTAAATTAAATTGGGCTTATCCTCCCTCCCTGCCTTTTACCTTTGGGGTGGAAGGAGAGGACAGTGTGTAGGAAGATGACAGTATAGGGGTGCAGTGTGTGTAGGAAGGTGACCATGTTGGGGACAGTAGGTAGGAAGGGGGCAGTGTGTAGGAAGGCTGTGGGGGTGATAGTGTGGGGGCAGGTTGTGGGGCTGTCTTTGTCACTATACACTAGCTCACTGACACACACATATACACAAGCTCACTGACACACAGAGACAAGGTCACTATATACAAGCTCACTGACACACAATGACAAGGTCACTAAATATAAGCTCACTGACACACATACACAAGGTTACTACACACAAGCTCTCAGACACAGGCTCACTACACACAAGCTCACTGACTCACAAGGTTACTACACATAAGCTCACAGACACACATACACAAGGTCACTATGCACAAGCTTACTGACACACATACACACAGACATACAAACATATATCCTCACTTACACATACACAGACATACATACACACATGCTTACTGACACACATACACACAGGCATACATACACACACACATAAGCTCACTGACACACATACATACATATACACAAGCTCACTGGCACACAAACACACAGACATACATACAAACAAACTCAGGTCACTGTCACACACCTAGCAGCAGGTTATAGCTCGTGGCTGCTTCCCAAACTAATACTTTTGGAACTTGCGGATCCACTCAATAATAAGCTCTTCCTTGCGGCTCTGGCAGTCAGTGATGACTCAGAGCGCAGGCTTGAAATCTCCTCAGTCATCACTGAGCGCCGGACCCGTAAAGGGTGAGCTTACTATCGAGTGGATCAAGAGGAGATACCTAGCATCGGATATTGCCCACTAGACCACCAGGTAATACTTTTAATTGAATATATTGTGCATCCAGCATTATATTTAATAAAAATAAATGGCACTTTTCCTGGGGGGCGGCAGAATCCTTGGTTACTGCCACCCCCTGCCAAGGAGCGCTCGGGTGGCCACTGTGTTGCGAGCTGTGTCAGCCACCAGGTGCCCGCACAGCTCGCAAAAATTAAGGTTGGCTTTGCATAGGGACGGCAAAATGCCTCCCCTGTTAAAGTGCTACCTTGGGCTATGGCCCCAAATGCTCCTATGGACAGGCCGGCTCTGTTCAAACACACCTCTGCAATCAAACACAAACATTACATACAAACACCCCCCTATATTAAAACACTAAAACTATATACAAGCACCTCTTCAAATACCAACACTGTACATTACACTATAGTGCTAGTAAATGTTGCAGTGGTGTACAGATATACAACCTAGAAATTTTGACTTGGGTGCCTTGGAAAAATATTGAAATATTAAGGATGCCTTGAACCTAAACAGTTTGGGAACCACTGCTCTATACACATAGCTATTGTACTCCCTCTGTCTGTCACTTCTAGTATTGCAGATTCAGTTTATTAATATGATGGTACAGGCAGTTTATTGGGGTTATTGATGCATTCCCTCTGTTTTGCAGAGATTTGACAAATAATTGGGGCACTCTAGTATCTAAAGCTTGTCCCATTGGCTCTGATGTGATATTGAAGTTTAACTTCTTCATTAACAGGCTAAAATCACACATTCAGCTTTGTCCCCAGAGAAAACTACTGTCTAAACTTTACTTATAAATGTTAATTTAAAGAGGGTAGGCACCACACTATACCTCTGGTGGGACTGTGAAAAAATAAGACCATATTAATACCAATACATAATATGCTGAGGAAATTTTCTGATGCATCCTTGGACCCGGCGGCAGTGCTCCTGCACCACACGACCAACCCCAGGTCCCGGTATAAGAAATTTATGTCCATTAGAATCCTGAACATAGCTAAACAGGTCCTTCCACAGTATTGGAAAAAGGCGATCACCCCTCCACTCCTGACATGGTTCACCCAAATGGAGGAACTTAGGGCAATAGAGGAGCTCCACATGGGGGCAGCTAATGCCACCACAGCGAATATGGAGATTTGGTCCCACTGGATCCTATCCACTGCAGCGGCAGACTTCACATCTCAATTACAATAGCAACTTCACCTGGTGGACATGACGACCACAGACACCTCACCTCCTCACCTTTCCTTCCCCTTAGCCCCATCCACTGCCCCTCTTATCTTCTTCTGCTGTATTTCTTTTTGGGTCCAAGAAACCTTCCTGTACTGGGATATGAGTAGAAGGGTACCCAGAGCGGTGATTCCCCATAGCTGAAGGGTCTAGCAACCGTGACCAGGGTAAGCTGCTGACAGCACCGGGCTCAGAGGGGGGAAAACAACTTCACCAGGCACCGCACCCACTCTACGAGACTCCCAGAGCAACATTGATCTAAAGTCAACCTCCCCATACGAGCCACGAGAGACAAGCCGACCCCAAATTTTTACCATAACAAGGGGTCCATAAATGCCGTATCCATCAAGTATTAGAGGGTACCCAGGTCTATCATCCAGAGCCAGGTCCTCATTGGCTCAGGAAAAGGTGAGCACAACCATAACCACTGTGTTTTTTATTTTTTGTTGAAACTTAATACACTAGGAAGTCTCCCTTTCTCTCTCCTTTGAGGAAATCCATTCCAGGCAAAAGGGTGCAGTGTCTCCATACGACACTACTGTGCAAGTGATTTGAGCCTGTCCCTTTGAGGCTCTGATCAATGTGAGTTTGACTACTTGAATTATCACCGAAATACATTACCACCTGTGGATTTACACTATATTGTGTTTTATTTTTTGTTTCCTTTATATGTACTGATATACATCTGAGATTTAACCCTATTTTAGGGTAAGTTTATACCTTTAGCGCTCCACTCATTTGATTAGTAGAGTCTGGACGTTATATCCAGATTGTACTAAGTTCACTTTGGTTCATTACTATAATTAGTGGGGATAAGAGAGTATCCACTAGAGAGTGTAGCTGCTTATTTTTAACTCAATTACACTATACACAGTAATCACCAATCTGTGTGTTTTATTAGAGGGTACTGCCTACTAGTGTCTATATGCTATAGGACCTGCGAGTCCAACAGGTGAATGCTATATGCGTTCTATTGTTACCTACGTGTTACCGATGTATGTCTATAAGATCATAATTTTTCCAGTATGATTGTTGATACATGAGATTAATGGGACTTGCGTGTCCATACTGAAGTTTTCTTTCACGAAATGTTGAGAAATATCCAATAAAAATATGTTTACAAAAAAAAAATTATTAAAAAAAATATATATATATATATATATATATATTTTTTTTTTTTTTTTTTTTTTGAGAACAATGTGTATAAAGATATAGGCATCAAATTTAAATCAAATGCATAATTACTAGTTCAAATGTACGCAAAAGATTGCATAGAGACCTAAACTCGGGGGAAGTAAGAAGGCTCCTGAAAAAAACCCA